TATAATTATCGGATATTATCGCTCGACCCGTATTTTATCCCAAATTGGCCACTTTTAACGAAAATCCTTTTCGTTAATCCGTGTACCCCTTTATCCTTCATAGAACTTATTTATCGCTTGATATAAATAGCGTATTACTTATAATCTCAAAATAAATCTCATTCCCGAATTTGCGTCGATTAATCTTACGATGAAGTTTTATTGTACGACGACGCTTTAATGTACGAAAATGCGAAATATAATATCTCATTTTTTGACTTTCATCATTTTACTTATGGCGTACTTTCACGCACGAAAATCTGGGGTGTAACAAGCTGTGAAAGGACCTGTGTGCTCTACTTTCTCATGACAGGTCAAAGGGTGAATGTGGGTCATCTGATCCGCTACCAGATGTCATCAGTGAGGACGAGTAAGAAAATAGATCGAATGCCATTTGCTAACTTCTTGACTCAGTTCTTAAGGAACGAGGAGGTTGAGGAGGAGCCTGAGTTTGACCACACCATCGATCATCCTATCCGACAAACGGACATCACTAATCTCTGGCTGAAAGACAAGACTGCCATGCCATCATTGGCAGGTACTGAGCACAATGCACGTGATAATAGTTTTATGGCCCATCTCTATGGGATGATGGATTTTCAGCTAATGATAGGGGGTCGGCCGGCCACATCTGAGGAGAGGACTGAATTGGAGCAGCGGTACCCGCTCAATGCTCATGCCAATCAGCTGATTGGGTTAGGAGATGGATACAGACTCCCTGATGATAAGGATATCAACACACTTGAGCAGTTTGAGGCCAAGCCAGAGCAGTCAGATGTGAGGGCGATGATGAGGAGAAGGAGGACGAACATGATGAAGAGTGGAGAGCGTCAGAGGATGAAGACGCTTCTTGATCAGAGAGTTCCCTTGCACCCTACTTTTTTTTATCTTGTTTTGTCAATTTGTGCATGCACTGAGGACAATACAAATCTAAGTGTGGGGTGGGAACTTGTAGATATTAGTAGTTGTTAGCTGTTTTTGTTGTTGTAGTAAGTGTCATTTTCGTTAGTTAATTATTTTAGTTATTTATTTTAAGAATTTTTCATTTTTGTTTTTCTTGTTAGTTGTTTTTAGTCAGAAAATATTTTAAAAAAACATAGAAATGTTAGACTTTTCCCAACGATGGATCTCCTAGACATTTTTCTTGAGGGAAATAAGTCTAAAGAAAAATACCCAAAAGATTTTATTTGTAGGTAGTGTAGTAATTCCTCCTTGATTTTCCTTTGGGCCGCGATCTTTTTCAAGGATTTTTCGTTGAACCGGATGTAGTTAGTTTTAATTTTTAGGAGTGAGAACCACTGGGCTATGCATTTAACTGCAGCAATATCTCGTAGCTTTGTGATGCCTTGAGAATAGTTAGTACTCTGGTTGTGACGCTTAGGCTCAATTTTTTGACTTTAGTATAAGTACCTTAAATCGCAGATTCTTAAATTTGCTTAACTGATTTGACTGGAGTATCGTGAAAAAAAAAATCATTCCTGAATGAGTTATGTGTCATGTCTATGTGAGGTTTGTATGTATTCCGTGCACTGCATTTGATGTCTAGAACTTACCCCGTATGTGTGCAAAGCGAAATAGTAGTTTTGTTCAGTTTGAGAAGTGTATAGGTGTTTCTTTGTTAAGCCAGATATACATAGAGTACCCACCTTAATGTTATGCATCGTAGTTAACTCCTTTGAGCCTATAATCCTGTTTCTTTAGTAACCACATTATAAGCCGTACCCTTTTGTTTGAATCAGCCATATATTTGAACCTTGTCACCTCTCATGAGCACTTAAATTGTAAAGTGTGGTGTGGTAGCACTACAAGAAATATGAGCTATGGCGACATTAAATAAATGTCGTACTAGGTCACATAAATGTGACATAATCAATTACTGACGTTTATTTTACATTTATGCTAAATGTCGAAAATTTTCCAACATTTAAGTAAATGTCAGTAAATGCTTAGTGGCATTTATCTACTAACTTTTTATCAAATGTCACTCATTTGAGTTCATAACCATATAATTTGTGACATATACAAAAATGTTAGCAAATTATTTGTAAATTAAAAAACTATAGACGCACAACTAAAATTCAAAACAATACATTTATTATATTTTCCTTTTACATACAATACATACAATATAGAAAAGAAGAAAACAACAAATGTATTTATTTGCTCTTCGAAATACCACAAACATTCACATTCATGTCAAAAGTTTCAAGTGACATACACCACAGATAATTTAAATGAATTTAAAAACAATAGTCCAGTATAGTATATAGATAATTGTAACTTTTCTCTTTGTTAACATCTCCAAAATAGCCTATACAATTTGAAGCTTTAGTGTCCGTATTCTTTGATGAAGAAGCTTTGGTATCAGTATATCACCACGCCAAGGATTCACCCACACTATAGTAGCTCACATCCTTCAGAAGTGTTGTCTCCAATAACTGAAAAGAAAAGAATTATACTAAACTAGATCGGGAACGAACAAAAAAAACAATATTAAAAAAGTAAGAAAAGCATTAATAGAGGCACAATGGCCTTATTGCCTTTGCGACATAGTTTTAAACAAGATAATGCACCAAACTATTTGTTTAGTATAGATTGTGACACATGATAACCAACAGAGGCAATGTAAGTAAACACCAGTATAACAAGTACAATTGATTACCACACAGAAGGGTGCAGAGCAAAGTAAATGATCAAGCTGAAACAATATACATAACAATTTCAAAGGGATAACCCAACAACCTAATGGGATAGATTAAAAGAACCAACCAATCCGGAAGATTAAGTGGAACTTGGCAGCTACATAGCCTCAAGTGGACTCCACATAGTTCAATCAGCGAGTTGACCTCTAAATAAACATGGATAATAAACAAAGATTACATATACACATGAACATCTAATGGATTCTTTATCAAAATCCATTTGATAACTTATCTAGAACTTTAAAGCATTCTCTCAAACAGTTGGAAGGCAATATACTACTATACAGTTGAAAAGGTAAATTTCGTATCAATTAAAATGCACAGCATAATTAGGTTCTCTAATTCAATTATAGAAAGGTAATACACTGACATGCGGCAATATCTCATCTATCGGATTGCGGCACACATATATGAAATAGGATACATCAACTATCCAAAATTCATTCATATCCAAAGTGAATGAATCACAAACCCATCTTTTAATATGAACAACCCATAATTTCAAATTAAAAGAAGAAAAATTAATTGAAGATTCCTCGAAGTCTCAATAAAAAACCTTGCACCGATTACATTGACTTGAACTCTGGCTTCTCCTTCTGGCAAGGTCACAAGACTACGAACTTCGAATGTCTTGATGGAGAAGAAGCAATTGACTGCATATTCGATTTCAGTTCGATTTGAATTTGTTCACAGAGGCGAGAGAAGAGAACGGAAGTGGAGGTTGCCATCACCTATGATTCTGTAAAATATGACATAAATAGCATGGCCCCTTTCGAGCAAGATGAACAGAGAATGATGGATGTTGTCTCGTAGAATTTAGGGTTTCAAAGGAGGAGGGTTCTGAAAGGGGGTTGGAAATAGGGAAAATAAAAAGAAAGGAATGAGCGATTTAAATTCAACTGCGTATAAAATTTCTCACTGTTTGCTGCAAATGTCGATAAACATAGTGAAAAATACATCATTTGAATCAAATGTTATAATATTTAATAACTTTTCTTGCTAAATGACGTTCATTTAACCACATATTGCTCTAAATGTCAGAAAAGTAATTGTTTAATGACATTTGTTATAAATGTCGTCAATTAAATGTGGTTGTAGCCTATATTTCTTGTAGTGTAGGTTGGTTTTTGAGTGGAATAATTGAAATAAGGAGAAAGTTGCACTGTGTAAAAAGAAAAAAATTTAAAAAATAAAATAAATAAAAGCCACTTGAATTGAAAAAGAAAAAAAATAGTTGTATTGTTGGGAAGAATATTTCTTGATAGTGGTGGCTTTTGATGTACTGGTGCTTAAAGAAGCAGGGGGTAAAATATAGTGAAGTTAAGGTGGAGTTTGGTTTGACATAAGTATGGGCTTGAATATTAAAGTGTTTGTATTAAAGTGCTTAAGGGAGGTGTAGTCACTTATATCCAAATGTATACTACCCGACCTGTATCCTACATTACAATCAATGAAAGTCATATTTGATCTTAGACTGAATGAACTCTATTAGTAGAGTATTACACTACGGGCAAGCTTATGGTGCATCATTTGGGGCATATGAAGGTTATTTCTGAGAGCGAGTGAGTTTTTCCTATCTTGAGTTCCTACGTTTTTAAAATTCATTGTGTGTGGAACTAAGCTCTTTGATTGGGTGAGGGCACATGATTCATAAAGGAAAAGTAATATTGTTGACTTCAATGTTAGAGTAAGTAAGTGAATTGTGAATAAGGCATGGTATTTGTAAGTCGAATCTTGAGGCGATGATGTCACACCTTTGTGCTTAAACTATTTTAAAGATTCTTGGTATAATGAGTTAAGGGAATTGCTTAATAGGTTGTGTCTATAAGTGTAGTTTGATTGCTCGAGGACGAGCAATGTCTAAGTGTGGGGTATTGATGTGTGGCTATAATTCATAGTTTAGCACATTATTCGCCTTGCATTTTATATGCTTTAATGATAAATTACACTTTATTTGTGCGTAATAGGGTCCATTCTATGTGTAGGTGAATTGGAGATGAAAGTAAAAAAAAAAAAGGAGATCTACAAGTCAAAAGCGTGCGTGGGAGCAGGGAATGAGAGAACCTGGCGACGCCAGGCTTGAAGCTGGCGAAACCCTTGGTGACGCCACGCTTGAAGCTAGCGAGAGGCTCGCGAGGCAAGGCAAAGGCCCAGCATAACCAGGCATTAGACCTAGCGACGCCAGGCCTGGGGCCAGGTCCACCAGGCGTGATGCCTGGCGACGCTAGGTATAGGGCGAGATCCATTCTGAGTTTTGAAGATTTAGTTCGTTTTCTAGCTTGACTAGGATTTGAACTACACGCTTAGGTCTTGTCCTAAACATATAAATAGACCTAAAAATGCCGCTTTGAAGGACTTTTGCAATCGGAGGCAAGGATAGCTCGTGGAACAACTGTTGGGAGTTAGAATCATCGATTTCTACATCCCTTTATCCTTACTTTGTAATTCAATTATGAAGAATACTTTGGATATTCTTACTATGAGTATGAGTAGCTAAACTCCTAATCTAGGATTTTGATGGAACCTGTTGGAGGATGATTTTATTGTTATGTTAATATAGATTTGTCGTAGTATTCTCTCTATTTGTTCAACTATATGCGTATTGTTGTTGATTGAAGGGACCTCAATTAACTGTTCCTATTTAATATGTATTACTCGGGAGAGAATGCATATTTAGGTAGTTGTTAAACAACATCACTTCTAACGTATATGAGGGATCAATATGAAGGGTTTAAAGGTGGGATTAGGATAACGAAACCTTGGTGCGATCTGAGTGAGTTGTACTTAAATCCAGTTAGCATAATTCGGGAGAATATGTCTAGTATATTATGGTAATTACTCGGGAGAGAGTTACGACAATCAGAGTGCTCATGATCGATAGAGAAGACTTAGGCAAATTTATAGAAAATGTAGTGGAAAGGAGTCCGACAATACGGGAAATCAGAACCTTAGATCATTCCAATTATTGCCTATAACCCGTTCGTAGTTAGTTCTTATTTATTGCATTTTTATTACGTAATATTTAGTTAGTAATCATTCAACTTATTACTCAAATATTTCTGAAGATTGATTACATGAATTTGTGCGAGTCTAATCTGAGCTTAATAGATTAATTCCCTGTCGGATTCGACTCCGGACTTATTAACCGGAATATATCTGCAACGACCGCTAAGTCCTTTATATAAGGTATAGTTGGGCGTGATCAATGATACACCTTTATGAGAGCATATAAATTTTTATGTGTAAACCCGGCCGGTAAATTTTGTAGCCGACACATGAAATAAGTTAAGCCAAAGTCTAAAGAAATAATTCATAATTTATTATGGTAGAAGTTAATTTTGCATTTTTTGAAATTAATTCCATAATAAGAAGCCTTGTTAATTAAATTTTGTGATTCTTACTATGACTAAATAATTAGAAACAAAGGAAATATTTTTTGGAATTTTTGCCTCCTATAGCAAATGTTGATACCTTATTTATTTTAAATAAATACTATTTTAAAAAATTATATTCCATAACTATCTTTTGATTTTTATAGCCAAATATCTATTTATGGTCACCTCCTACACTCAAGCCATAAAATATGCTTTGATTTATTTTTCTCTCTCGTTCTTTTAGATTTTTCTCCACCCTCTCTCTCTCTCTCAACCAACGCTACAAATTACAATACCTCCGCTTTCTTCTGATGCAAAACCTCCGCCTTTCTGAAACTCACGAATATCCACCATTATCTTCCCTTGAAAGCTCCTAGCTGATACTCTCCAATTCTTAGAAATCTGAAACCAACGCAAAAATCAGAAAAACAGTAGAAAAGTGATATATAAGATGCTTGGGGAAGTGAAAAGAGAGACCTCACAAACGACGATGCCATCAGCATCGTCAGAATCATCAGTTCTGGAACAAAGACGATGATTTTGGATTCTTGTATGTAATTTTGTAATTTTGGATTCTTGAAATCAACGCAAAAATAATAGAAAGAATTTTTGAAATTGAAGGTTCGATGATTTTGGATCTTTTGTATATAATTTTGGGATTTTGACCTCGTGTGGGTTATTCTTGAACAAAGACGATAGAGTTTGGGGCTGAGCAACTTGAAGAGTCTGTTACCTTTTTTTTTGCATTGTATTTCAATGTATCTCTCTGTATTCTATGTATTTCATTGTATTCATTATCTTTTTTTTTCATTGTATTTCAATGTATCCCGCTGTATTATATGTATTTCATTGTATTCACTATCTCGCTATATTTCATGAATGTATTCATATATTTTTTTTAATTAATATAATTTATGTATTCAGATGTATTATATAATTTCTCTGAAGATTGCTAAGTTTTTTGGGGTGTTTTTCGGCTGAGAATCTTTTTTATAACTGGAAATACAAAATTTGTGTGTTATAATTGAGTTTGTTGAGTTATATTAGGAGTTTATTATGTTTTCACTTTCCGTTTAAAAATAGTTGTAATCCCATGTTTCATGACGTGAATATAGTTGAATACAATAATCTATCTAGATGTAGTCCCATGTTTTACGCCGTGAATACAGTCGAATACACTCGAATATACTCGAAGACAAAAATCTGTCTAGCTGTAATCCCCTGTTTCACGCCTAGAAATGCTACTGTATTCATGAATACAGTAGCTTAAATACACCGAATACACTCTAAAAAACCTGAAAACATAGTTATAAGAAGTAATATAGTAAATGGTAGCTACAACTAGCTAATAACCACTAAACAATAGTGGTTTGTGAAAATTTCTCATCTTTTTTAGTGAAAAAGAAAACTCAATAGGTTTTGGAAAAAAAATCTGACCCCAAAAAATGTGTGTGTATATACATGTATTTTTCCACCATAGGATTGGCCGAATTTTTGATATTTTTGCCTTGAAATTTCGCCCACATGAAATTTGTTCTTTCAATATATTATTTGAGTAATACAGTAGAAGACTATGGAACATTTGGAGATCGTGATCGTGTTGGCAGTGGTGTTCTGATTAAGTTGCTTTGGAACTGAAGGCTAATGTGATACACATACTTAATTCACGCTTTAAAAGGTAACTTGTGTAAACTCTATATGTGCTAGTTATTTATTTTACACGTGAATTTGACGCTGAATTGCTTCCGCTGCATTATATAATCCATCAACCTGGGTGGCAACTCGAAGCAAAAATATTCTTACAAGGCAGGATGAATTTCCAAAACAATTACATTATCATTGCCAATGCTCCTGCTTAGTTTTATAAAAAGCAACCCTTTCTTCGCTTAAAGCAAGGAAGGGATGCAAAGCAAGGGATCATTGCTTCTCATGAATAAAGTAAGTGAGTTGAAACATGTGTGCCTGTGAAGAGCAGAGCGGTTTGAGGAACAAGAAGATGAAATGTAGATAAAAACTAGAGCTTTTGTCTACTTCATCAAATATTTTATTTTCCAATTCTTTATTTATAAGCTGATTGTTTGGGAAAAATAAAATGACACTGGCATTGAAAGTTTGAAACTAACTATTGGTAGAATTCCTAAAGCAATTAAATATGAAACTTAATATCAAAAGTGAATTCTTTTTTATGGATCATTAATTGAACTGAAAGTCAAGTTTGCTATTGAAGTTATCTTTACATGGACCTGTGGAAATCGTATTTTAAAGATATTTAATTTGACTTACTGGTTTAGTGCTGTTAGTTGTTGTATTAGAATTAATGAAGTTATGTGAAAGTTTTATGCATCAAGTACTAAATTCCCTTTTTCTGGTAAGTTTTTGTATTAAGTTGTACACTTAAGGTTTTTGTTTTTAGATACACAGCTCCTGCTCCCAGAGAAAGTACAGAAATATTCATTTATTTGTGCGAGTCAGGCCTTGGGCTGCCTATATCACATCCCTTCGGATGCGTCTTTCTCCGGACCGTACATGAATGCAGAATACTTCCCTCACCGGGTTGTCTTTTTTTTTTTTTAATTTATTTTTTTAT